CCAGGACTAAACCAGGACTAGAACCAGGACTAAACCAGGACTAAACCAGGACTAAACCAGGACTAAACCAGGACTAAACCAGGACTAAACCAGGACTAACCAGGACTAAACCAGGACTAAACCAGGATTAAACCAGGACTAAACCAGGACTGAACCAGGACTAAACCAGGACTGACCAGGAGATCTAAACCAGGTCTTAGTCCTGGTTTAGTCCTGGGTTTCAGTCCTGGGTCAGTCCTGGTTTAGTCCTGGTTTAGTCCTTAGTCCTGGTTTTAGTAGTTAGTCCTGGTTTAGTTCCAGTCCTGGTTTAGTCCTGGTTTCAGTCCTGGTTTAGTTTAGTGGTTAGTCCTGGTTTAGTCCTGGTTTAGTCCTGGTTTTTCTGGTTTAGTCCTGGTTTAGTCGCTGGTTTAGTCCTGGTTTAGTCCTGGTTTAGTCTGGTTTAGTCCTGGTTTAGTCCTGGTTTAGTCCAGTCCTGGTTTTCAGTCCTGGTTTAGTCCTGGTTAGTCTGGTTTAGTCCTGGTTTAGTCCTGGTTCAGTCCTGGTTTAGTCCTGGTTTAGTCCTGGTCCTGGTTAGTCCTGGTTTAGTCCTTGGTTTTAGTCCTGGTTTAGTCCTGGTTTAGTCCTGGTCCTGTTTAGTCCTGGTTTTTTCAGTCCTGGTTTAGTCCTGGTTTTAGTCCTGGTGGTTTAGTTTAGTCCTGGTTTACTGGTTTACCTGGGTTTAGTCCTGGTTTAGTCCTGTTTAGTCTGTTTAGTCCTGGTTTAGTCCTGGTTTAGTCCTGGTTTAGTCCTTTAGTCCTGTTTAGTCCTTTCAGTCCTGGTTTTAGTCCTGGTTTAGTCCTCCTGTTTTAGTCCTAGTCCTGTTTAGTCCTGGTTTAGTCCTGGTTTAGTCCTGGTTTAGTCCTGGTTTAGTCCTGGTGTTAGTCCTGGTTTAGTCCTGGTTTAGTTTAGTCCTGGTTTAGTCCTGGTTTAGTCCTGGTTTAGTCCTTAGTTAGTCCTGTTTAGTCCTGGTTTAGACCTGGTTTTAGTCCTGTTTTCAGTCCTGGTTTTAGTCCTGGTTTAGTCCAGTCCTTGGTTCAGTCCTGGTTTAGTCCTGGTTTTAGTCCTGGTTTAGTCCTGTTTAGTCCTTAGTCCTGTTTCAGTCCTGGTTTAGTCCTTGTTTCAGTCCTGGTTTAGTCCTGTCTCGTTTCAGTCCTGGTTTAGTCCTTGTTTCAGTCCTGGTTTAGTCCTGTCTCAGTCCTGGTTTAGTCCTGTTTTAGTCCTTGTTTCAGTCCTGGTTTAGTCCTGTTTTAGTCCTGTTTTAGTCCTGGTTTAGACCTGGTTCAGTCCTGGTTCAGTCCTGGTTTAGTCCTGGTTTAGTCCTGGTGGTTTAGTCCTGGTTCAGTCCTGGTTTAGTCCTGGTTTAGTCCTGGTTTAGTCCTTGTTTCAGTCCTGGTTTAGTCCTCCTGGTTTAGTCCTGGTTTAGTCCTTGTTTTCAGTCCTGGTTTAGTGGTTTAGTCCTGGTTTAGTCCTGGTTTAGTCCTGGTTTAGTCCTGGTTTAGTCCTGGTTTAGTCCTGGTTTAGTCCTCAGTCCTGGGTTTAGTCCTGGTTTAGTCCTGGTTTAGTCCAGTCCTGGTTTTCAGTCCTGGTTTAGTCCTGGTTTAGTCCTGGTTTAGTCCTTGTTTCAGTCCTGGTTTAGTCCTGTCTCAGTCCTGGTTTAGTCCTGGTTTCAGTTCCTGGTTTAGTCCTGGTTTAGTCCTGGTCTAGTCCTGGTTTAGTCCTGGTTTAGACCTGGTTTAGTCCTTGTTTCAGTCCTGGTTTAGTCCTGGTTTAGTCCTGTTTCAGTCCTGGTTTAGTCCTGGTTTAGTCCTGGTTTAGTCCTGGTTTAGTCCTGTTCAGTCCTGGTTTAGTTTAGTCCTGGTTAGTCCTGGTTTAGTCCTGTTTTAGTCCTGGTTTAGTCCTTGTTTAGTCCTGGTTTAGTCCTGGTTTAGTCCTGGTTTAGTCCTGGTTTAGTCCTGGTTTAGTCCTTGTCTCAGTCCTGGTTTAGTCCTGGTTTAGTCCTGGTTTAGTCCTGGTTTAGTCCTGTCTCAGTCCTGGTTAGTCCTTTCAGTCCTGTTTTGTCCTGTTTCAGTCCTGGTTTAGTCCTGGTTTAGTCCTGGTTTAGTCCTGGTTCAGTCCTGGTTTAGTCCTGTCTCAGTCCTGGTTCTTGTGGTGCAGAAGTTGAAGCGGGCCATGCGGGTGTGTGGGCTCATCGTGGGCGTCTTCGTGCTCTGTTTCCTGCCCACGAGCGTGACCACGGCGGGCGTGTGGCTCGTCCAATCACAGCGTCCGGTCCCGTGCGGCGCCTTCTACACGCTCACGCAGCTCACGATCGTCTCGCTCGGACTCAACTTCCTCAACTCGGCCCTGGACCCGCTGCTCTACGTCTTCTCCAGCTCCACCTTCAGGAAAGCCCTGCTCCAGAGTCTGACCAGAACCAGAACCAGAACCAGACCCGGACCCGGACCCGGACCCGGATCTGAACCCGACCAGACCACAGAGACCACCGGGACCACAGCCTCCAGCACACAACAAGAACTACACAGCCTCAAGAACCTGGACTAGACCAGGACTGGACCAGGACTAGACCAGGACTAGACCTGGACTAGACCTGGACTAGACCAGGACTGGACCAGGACTAGACCTGGACTAGACCAGGACTAGACCAGGACTAGACCAGGACTAGACCTGGACTAGACCAGGACTGGACCAGGACTAGACCTGGACTAGACCAGGACTAGACCAGGACTAGACCAGGACTAGACCTGGACTAGACCAGGACTGGACCAGGACTAGACCAGGACTAGACCTGGACTAGACCAGGACTAGACCAGGACTAGACCAGGACTAGACCTGGACTAGACCTGGACTGGACCAGGACTAGACCAGGACTAGACCAGGACTAGACCAGGACTAGACCAGGACGAGACCAGGACTAAACCAGGACTAAACCAGGACTAAACCAGGACTAAAACAGAACTAGACCAGGACTAGACCAGGACTGAACCAGGACTAAAACAGAACTAGACTAGGACTAAACCTGGACTAGACCAGGACTAGACTAGGACTAAACCTGGACTAAAACAGAACTAGACTAGGACTAAACCTGGACTAGACCAGGACTAAACTGGACTAGACCAGGACTAAACTTACTGTTCACTTTTGGTGTTTTTATGAATATATTTTTGTTGTTGTTTTTTCTTATTAAAGTCGACGTCTCTGATTCTGTCAAACGCTTCTTGATTCATTCAGTTTTTATTTTCTCTGTCACAAAATAAAACCAAAACTCTCGAAATGTGACTAAACCAGGACTAAACCAGGACTAAACCAGGACTAAACCAGAACTAAACCAGGACTAAACCAGGACTAAACCAGGACTAAACCAGGACTAAACCAGACTAAACCAACTAAACCAACTAAACCAGAGGACTAAACCAGGACTAAACCAGGACTAAACCAGAACTAAACCAGAACTAAACCAGGTCTAAACCAGGACTAAACCAGGACTAAACCAGAACTAAACCAGGACTAAACCAGGTCTAAACCAGGACTAAACCAGGACTAAACCAGAACTAAACCAGATCTAAACCAGGTCTAAACCAGGACTAAACCAGGACTAAACCAGGACTAAACCAGGACTAAACCAGGTCTAAACCAGGACTAAACCAGGACTAAACCAGAACTAAACCAGGTCTAAACCAGGACTAAACCAGGACTAAACCAGGACTAAACCAGGACTAAACCAGGTCTAAACCAGGACTAAACCAGGACTAAACCAGGACTAAACCAGGACTAAACCAGAACTAAACCAGAACTAAACCAGGTCTAAACCAGGACTAAACCAGGTCTAAACCAGGACTAAACCAGAACTAAACCAGAACTAAACCAGGTCTAAACCAGGACTAAACCAGGACTAAACCAGGTCTAAACCAGGACTAAACCAGGACTAAACCAGGTCTAAACCAGGACTAAACCAGGACTAAACCAGGTCTAAACCAGGACTAAACCAGGTCTAAAAACCAGAACTAAACCAGGTCTAAACCAGGACTAAACCAGGTCTAAACCAGGTCTAAACCAGGACTAAACCAGGACTAAACCAGGTTCTAAACCAGGTCTAAACCAGGACTAAACCAGGTCTAAACCAGGACTAAACCAGGTCTAAACCAGAACTAAACCAGGTCTAAACCAGGACTAAACCAGGACTAAACCAGGTCTAAACCAGGACTAAACCAGGTCTAAACCAGGTCTAAACCAGGACTAAACCAGGTCTAAACCAGGTCTAAACCAGGTCTAAATCAGGACACATTTAGCATGAGAAAAAAATAAATAAAAACACTTTAAAAACATTAAAACATTAAAACTTTAAAACATTTAAACATGAGACAATTTTGTACAACAATCTGGTTCTTCAGAAATCAATCCACAAACTCTTTTTAAATTCTTTTTTTGATGTTTTATTTGATTATTATTTCGTTTTCCGTTGGTGTTGCTCAGAGGAGGGGGAGTTCTTCTGGAATGTTCTGCTCAGATCTTGGGGGGTTTGGGCTCTGGATGGATGAGGTCAGAAGGTGTTTTCCTCTGATCCTCCGTTGGGCGTCTGCTGCTGCTTTAGAGCTGGAGGTTCTTGTGAAGGTTCTTGTGGAGCACCTAGCGATGCTCCAGCACGGTTCTGTCCATGAGGGACAAGTGCGCTGTTTGCATCTCCACGTTTACACTGGAACATCTCAACTCCACAGATGCTCTCCTCTGGGTGAGAAAGTCCTCAGTTCCCGGGAGACGAGCCTCCAGAGACGTGCGCAGGTGAAGCTCCTCAGAGTACATGCTCCTGTACCAGTCCAGCCGGCCGAGGAGTTCCTGTTCATTGGAGCGAGTCCTGGACACCAGGTTCTCCAGCTCCCTGATCCTCTGTTCCTGCTGGGAGCGCTGTGCTTCCCTCGAGTTGTACTCAATCTGAAGGAGTTGGTTGATCTGCTGCAGGTTGGATTTCATCTTGTCCTTGGCTCTCTCCTCGACCAGCCTGCTCTCTCTCTCTGTGCCTCCTCCATTCGTCTTCTGAGATCCTGCACTTCCTCCTCCGTCCTCTGGCTCTTCTGGAGTGAGTGTTCCAGAGACGTCAGCTTCTCGTGCAGGTCACTGTTGTCCTTCTTCAGCTGTTGGTGCCGCTGAGTCTCTCTGTCCAGCTGCACCTCCAGATCCTTCATCTTCTCTCCTCTTCTGTCGTTGTGTTGGATCTTCTTCTTGGCCTTTTTCACTAAAGTGCGCAGCCTGCACACTTCTGTCTGAAGCTCTGAGGTTTTGCTCATCTCTTGTTCCAGACGAGCGTCCACAGCCGCCTTCTGCTTCTCCAGCTCTGACTCCTGCAGTCCTGACCTGGAGCTGCTCTTCACCTCCTGCTCCCCTAGAGCCTGCTGCTCCTGGGCAGTGGGTGAAACTCTTCTCTGCTCCTGTAAATGAGCTCTGACCTTCTCAGCCTCATGAGCGTCTCTTTCCAGAGTCTCCGTTTTGAAGGACTGCGGTTTTTCTTTCTTTAGTTGTACATTTTGGATCTGCAGTGTTTGCACAGCCTCCTTCAGATCTTTGATGGTGGCAGCAGAAGCAGCTGAAGTAGAAAGGGTCTCCTGGAGTCTCTGTGTTGCAGCGGCACATTCCTTTTCCTTCTCCTCAAAGCTGCTCTCCAGAGATTTACAGCGTCTTTCCATCTTCACACGCTGGTCTTCCATCTTTACCAGCATGTCTTTGAGTCTGTCCACTTTCCTGAGGACACGAGTCTTCTCATTCTCCAGGTCGGTGCATTGCTGGGTCTTTAACTCCAGAGAGCGTTCCTTCTCGGACAGCTCCTTCAGGGTTTGGGACAGGTCCTGCTGCAGCAGCCTCAGATTTCCATCTCTCTCCAGTTTTTTTTCTAAAGTGCAGACTTGGTCTTGGAGGTCTTGAACCTGACTCAGCAGCAGCTCCTTGTTCCTCTCCTCCACCAGCTGGACCTTCTGGTCACAGTCAGCGTGCAGCTTGGACATCATATCAGCGCAGTGTTGCTGCGTGTGGACCATGTTCTTCTGCTCAGCGTCTCTTTGTCTGTGGAGCTCCTCCAGCTGCTGCCGCAGTGACTGATTTTCCCTGTGGACCTGGGCCAGGAGCTCCTCTGTGGTCTCATGTTTATTGACCAACTCTTTCTGAGCGTGAAGTTCTCTGCTCAGCTGCTTGTTCTCCTCCTGAAGTTGTTTCTCTTTGAGGGTGCCAGTGCCCTGTAGATGTTCCACATATTCTGTCAGAGAGACGATCTGCTGCTGCAGTGTGGAGTTCTGCTGACGGAGCTTCATCATATTTTGTTTGTTCTTTGCCTCGATCTCTTGCTGTTTGCAGAGAAGAAGGTTCAGGTGGTTTTCCTGAAGAGCCCGTGCACTGCGAGTCTCATGGTGTTCCTCTTCTTGTTTCTTCTTGTCCATCAGGATTCTCAGCTTTTCTGAACTGACTTCCATCTTTTCTTTTTCTTGGATCAGGTCTTCTGTCCCTGCTGGTTTTGATGGGACATCAGTGAGGTCCTCACAGAGAGAGATGGAGCCTCTGTGAAGCTTTCACAGTCTTCAGGCTCCTCCTCACGCTCTGGTCCTTGTGCTGGATTTGGCTCAGGCTCTGAAGGATCTGGTTTGTCTTGTTCCTGCTCATAAACTTGCTCCATCATGAGAACCTCCTTGTTTGTAGATTCAGGGGTGTCTGTGGAGTCCCAGTCTGACAGTTCGTCTTCATCAGACTTTACCAGGTCTTTCCTCAGCTCTGTCTGTAGGTCAGAAGCTCCTTCCTCTTTGTTCAGAAGTGGTTTCTCTTTTGTTTTGGAGGCAACACTGTGGGAGGGTTCACTCTCCTCAGACTTCTTGTCCTCTTCTGAAGATTCACCGTAATCATCCAGCATCGTTTTGATCATGTACTTTTGGACTGAAGTCCAAACCCCAAGTTTGTTCCGAGAAGGTTCCTCTGATGTTCTGTGATTGGGGGCGGTGCTGAGGGAGTGTTCACTTTCTTCCTCCTCCTCCTCCTCTTCGTCTTGGATCCATGACATCCTGGCTGCTTTGTGGACAGACTCAGGATTGTTGGAGGTGCCAGTCTCCTGTTGTGGTCGATGTTGGAGGTCAGAAGGTCCATCAGCTGAGCGTGTGGCGTGTGTGATGAGGAGCTGAGCACAGGCCTGGTGTCGCTTTTCCTCGGCGTAGTCCTGGGCGGACCGTCCTTCGTAATCTCGTAGAGAAACATCTGCGCCGTGCGCTAAAAGCAGCTGCAGCAGGTGCTGTTGGCCGCTTCGAGCCGCTCTCATTAAAGGAGACACTCGACTGAGGTTTTCACAAGCGTTGGCGTCTGCTCCGTTCTCTAGAAGAAACTCCACCATCTCAGTTTGGTGGTGGCGGATCGCCTCACTCAGAGGGGTGTGGCCGAATATATTGGAGGCGTTTATGTGAGCGCCGTGCTCCAGGAGCAGTCCAGCTGTGGACACACTGGAGGTGCCCGCCGCCAAATGCAGCGCTGTGTCTCCGTTAGCGTCCCTGAGGGAGACGTGGGCCTGATTCTTCAGGAGGAGGTCCACACAGGTCTGATGTTCTCCCCCCGCCGCCTTCATTAAGGCCGACTGATTTGTATCGTCACAAAGGTTCAGATCGGCTTGTCTCTCCACGAGGAACCGCACCACCTCGTCGCGTCCACCGGCACACGCCACGTGCAGAGGACTTCTCCCTTTCTTGTCCTGCTTATTCACATCTTTTTTCTTTTTGGTCAAGAGTTTTTCTAATGTGACCAGATCTCCGTGTGCTGCCGCCTTGTGGACGTTCCCCAGGTCCCAGTTCATGAGGACGAGGCTCGCAGAGGCTCTGCTGCTCTTCTCTCCACTCACGCTCTCATCTTTCACCTTCAACTTGAAAATATTCCTCAGTGGCTTGAACATTGTGGCGGTTGTAGTTGATGTTGGAGAATAAAGTGTGAAGTTCACTCTGAGTTCTCTTCTCGTGTTTTGTGTCTCTACGTTCTGTGTTTGTATTTACGCTGCAGAACTCTGCCTTACACAAACCCACCGCTGCATCATAAAGACAAAGGAACATTCCGGTCGCCATAGCGACGGCGCCAGCCACAGCAGCTGGAGCTTTCAGATGATTCTAGAACTCGCTGATGACATCATAAAGGTAATGTTAGAGAAGGTTCTGCTGTTACCATGGCGACACAAAGCTCTACTCACCTGATTCTGGAAAAAAAAATCAAGGCAAAATGAAAATAAAAACACATGTTCATTTCCCTGTGGGCAGCGTTCGCTTCTGTTGTTGGATTAAAGGTGAATTCTTTCTGTTTGAGATGATTTGACTCGAGGGACGTGTTTAACAGCTCAGGTCAGTGAGTCAGGTCTTTACGTCACATCAGGTCAAGTCCAGTCACTGTTCTATGTTCTTACAATTCTTTTATATGAAGTTATTTTAGGGCGAGCAGATTTTCAGAATAAAACTCTGGTCCACACTCGGGTCCTCGACTCACGAGTCGACCAGAGTCAAATCTGAAACAAACACAGAAGCAACAAACACATGAAACTGTTGCTCCTCTGGTTTAGTCCTGGTTTAGTCCTGGTTTAGTCCTGGTTTAGACCTGGTTTAGTCCTGGTTTAGTCCTGGTTTAGACCTGGTTTAGACCTGGTTTAGACCTGGTTTAGACCTGACTTGATGCGGAAGCTCAGCTCTTTTAATTTATCATCTAATATTTTAAATAATTTTGATCATTGTTTTATTGAAAGTTTGCTGACCTTTTCTTTTATTTGTTGGTTTTATGGATTTTCTGTGAAAGACGAGAGTCTGAACCAGATTGTAAAAGTTTGCAGCAAAATCCTTGGTTTTCAGTTGGAGGATCTGGAGTCTGTGGAGACGTCAGGTGTTACAAAAGACTAAGGCCAAACTGAGCCAGACTGACCGTGTCCTGCACTCACAGTTCATGAAGATGTCCTCTGGGAGGCGCTATGTCCCCACAGCAAAACACTAACCACTACAACAAACCTCTTCTTCTTCTGCCAGAAGGATTTGAAATGGAAAGTGAATTAGTTCCTGTGTCCCTGATGCTCTGAGGTTCAAACGTCTGGTGTCTTTCTTTTTCTTTATTATTTATATTTATATATTGTGCGTGACCAGAGATGTGCCAACTGAACTGCCCTTTGGGATTAATAAAGTTATTGATTGATTGATTGATTGATTGATTAGACCTGTTTTAGTTTCCGGCAATGAGTGGAATTACAAAATAAAAGTAACTGTAATCCAATTACCACTCACTGAAACAGTAAGTGTAACTGAATACAGTTACTCATAATGAGTACTCTGATTACTCTGGTACATGTAATCTGTTACTCCCAAACACTGTTTATATGAGACAAACTCCAGTTTAGATCCTCATCGATTAAAATCCTAAAACTCATTTCGTCTTTGAATCTGTTTCCTTCTATTTCTAATCTTATGTCGTCTTTTTTCTTTTAAACAAAATAAAATTAGTTTTTTTTTTTTAACATTGACAATCAATCCGTTTAAATCAAACAGTATTTTACTTCTTTTTTTTTTTTTTTTAGCTCTTTGACCATTTTTATGTCTTTTCCCGAGTAAAATAATGTTGTATCATCAGCAAATACAATTTTCCCAAGCTCGGAAACTTTAACTCAAAAATTCATGTATAATATAAATATAATATAAAGTTTATGTCTTTACTGGTGTCAGGATCTACAGAAGCCGAGAGGGTCACAACAAACGCAAACGCCGCAACAAATACGACAACACAACAAAAAGCCACAACAAACCAAAAAAAGCCACAACGGAAGTGACCGCGGGACTCGATTTTCCGACGGACCGATCAAGCGTCAAGTGAAGAAGAAGAAGAACTACAACGTGAAACAAATAACGATAAAACAATAAATGACTTTTACTTACGTTTCCAACTTCTCCGTTCCTTTACTTTTCACGTTGTAGTTCTTCTTCTTCTTCACTTGTCGCTTGATCGGTCCAACGGTCACTTCTGTTGTGGCTTTTTTTGGTGTATAGTAGTTTTTTTTGGTTTGTTGTGGCTTTATTTTTTTTGGTTTGTTGTGGTTTTTTTGGTTTGTTGTGGTTTTTTTGTTTGTTGTGGCTTTTTGTTGTGTTGCATTTGTATTTGTTGCGGCGTTTGCGTTTGCTGTGACCCTCTCAGCTTCCGTACGGATCAGATTGGTCAAAAACAGAGACACCTGGGACATTTCTTGTATAAAACTGCGACAAATCAGTGTTTTTTTAATTTGTTTTATAAATCTTCTGGGACAGGACACAAGCTCAGAAGTGGGATTGTCCCGGGAAAACAGGAACGACCGGTCACACTAAGTCGGAATTTCTCTGCAGTATTTTTTATTTTATTTTTTTCAGTTTCTCTCCTCCTTTTATTGTTTCTTTAATACGTTCAGTTCCACAGATGTTCAGACTTTTACAGCTGCCGTGTTTGGTCCTCGAAGCTCATTTATGTTCCGTCGTATTAAAATTCAGAAACTTTTCACCTAAATAAAAACTAAATAAAAGATCTGGGATTTAAAACCACGAGCTGCAGGAGTGTGTGAACAGACGGACAAACTTCAGCCTTTTCATTTTCACTCCTGAGTCGATCCAAACAAGTCAAACCCTCCGATACTTTACGATATTTATTATATATATTACATTTATTCTATAGATATTCCCCGTGGGTGTTTTGGATGTTCACGTCTGAGCAGCTGGAGGGTTGGAGGTTTTTTATTTAAGATTTTGATTTAAGAAAACGCCAAGGCTGAAAACTGAATAATGCACGAAAGAGGCTCTTTAATTATTGATTCATCCTGGTAGAATTTGGAGTGAAATGTTCCAGATAAAACTTGAAATTCTACAGTTAGTTTTGGAGTTTTTCTCAGACTGAAACTTACTCCTGGAGTGAAGAGGAAGAGGAGAGAGTGAAGAGGAAGAGGAGAGAGTGAAGAGGAAGAGGAGAGAGTGAAGAGGAAGAGGAGAGTGTTTGGGGAGGAAGGGGAAGAGGAGAGATGGAGCTGCTTTGATAAAACATGGCTGCAGTTTATCTTTCTCCATCAGGACTCAGGATTAACAGTGGATTAAGACCCTCCCCTCTGACAGGATCAAGCGTTTACACCGACACACACTCCGGGGAAAGTGGAAAAGCTCTGGACTCTTCATCTTTTTACTCTTAATTATATAATTCAGTAACGACGTGTCCTTCACAGACCTCGGATGTTCTTCTGTCGCTCCGTCGAAGAAACAAACATTTAGTCCTCGTGTCGGCGTCGGATCGTCAGGACATTTCAGAAAACCGTGTTTTACTCAAACTGTCCTTCTGATCCCACACTCATACTTAGTGAACTTTCTGATACCGATACCGATACCGATACCTGACCTGCACCTGTCCAATGTTCTGTAGATACTTGAGGCAGATCATCAGTGCAGACGAGACACATGATGATGAATGATGA